GCCAGTCTGCCACTCACGCGGTTGCCCCGCTCGCGGCTCTGTCCGTCCGTCCGTGCGCAGGTTCCTGCCTTGCAGGTGGCTCTGGGTGGATGAGGTGCTTCCAACCTTCCAGCTCGTGCCCCTGCGTGAGCAGCATCTGCTTATCTTGCCGGTGGGCTGCCAGCCCCGAAATGCTTGTTTCCTGTTTGCGTTTCTCTCGGAGCCTCGGGAGCCGGAGCTTTAGCTTGCCTCTGCTGTTAGCCAGCCTGGTTGGTGCTTCTCGTGTGCCGGGCTGGCGCGTTGCCTGTCCGATCAGGAAAACTAGGGGGGAAAAAATGCTGGAAACGCTCCTTCTTGTGAACGAAGTTGTGCTGGTAGGAGATGCAGTACTGCCTCGGATCTCGATGCAGTGCATCTTTTTCACAGATGGCATTAACTTAATGGCATGTTTTTCCCAGTTTTATCACCTGAGAGAGAGGGATTGGTTTTTTTTATGTAGGGCTGGAAAAAACGAACGTGCAAGACTGCGGTTTGGAGGCGGGAAGGGACCATAGGTGCAGACGAAGGCTTCCAGCAGAAGAACGAGACTGGGATACCGGCAAGCGAGCCGGCTCTGGAGCAGAGGGCAGGCGTGCATGCCTGAGTTAGGTGGGAGTATGTTTAGGGTGGGTTAAGGAAGGTTGTTCGGGTCCCTGAAGGGCAGGATCTGGTTTTTGCGTGGAAGCTCGGCGGCGTGGCTGCTCTTTCTGTCGCTTTGCTGCCTGTAGCACTTGCCTTAAATGCAAATGAAACGCGGGTGCTCGTCTCCCCCATAGAAAACACAGCTGCTGGCACTGAATGCGCTGCAGGGTAGTAAAGCATGTCCAACCAACCGCGCGTCGCGCTCGCTCTTCACCGCCTGGGGCGGAAGGGATTGCCTTGTGCGGACGGTGGGCGCAGTGATGGTTTGGGCACAGGGCAGATGCCCGAAGACCCCGAGTTACCCGATCTGCAGATAAATGAGATTGAATTCTGCAGCGTTAGCAAGTCAACGCGCCCCGGCGGGAGGAAAACTCGCATGAGCGAGCGACCGCCCGCAGAGCGGGCGGTGAGGCAGATATCGGCTCCGCTTAACCTCGGACGCGTGACCTTTGCATGGGACGGTCGTTGCAGCTCTATTAGTTGTTCCTCCCGGTCTCCAGCGAGATGTGGCATTAGCAGCGTTGCTGGAGAAGTCCTTTTACCAGCTTGATTTAAAAGAAGCGGCCTTGCAGCCTGTTTTGTTATCTCGGAGCCTCGGTTATGTTTCTTTAGTTTTAACGTCTATTGGAATAATACCTTATAAAATGAAATATTCACTCGGGCCAACAACCGCTGTATAAAGAACGTGTGTTTTGTAAAACCTGGTTAAGGGTACCCAGCTGCCTTCTGGTTTCTGTCGGCAGCTGCGTCGTCGTAACAGTTTTGCAAGCACAAAGGGCAAACGCTTTGCAGGGTCAAACCAGCGTACGTGTCGTTATACCCTTTGGTCTTTCTGGCGAATAGCTTTGGGCAAAGAAGGGAGGCGTATGACTGATTTTCTTGATGCTTGTCCCCTTGGTGGCGGGTGGGAGCGGGGAGCCGAAGCAGCTCGCCAGGGCTGGCAGCGGGGACGTTCTTGCAGCTCCCTGGAGCAAGGTGCCTCCGGCAAAGCCGCGGCAGGTTCGCTCGCAAAAGGCCGTTTTATTCGCAGACCGCGCTGGGAAGCTGAGATCCCCCTGAAGCGTCGGAGGTTTGGCGCTGACTCTCTGGATTCTCTCTTGCTCGCAGATTACTGCATGAACCCGCAGACGGTGTTGCTGCTCCGGGTCATCGCTGCCTTCTGCTTCTTGGGAATCATCTGCAGTCTCTCCGCTTTCCTGCTGGATGTTTTTGGGCCCAAGCACCCTGCGTTAAAGATCACTCGCCGCTACGCTTTCGCTCACATCCTCACAGGTAATTCCCGGCACGCCGCGCTGCGTGCGTGTGGCCTGGTTCTTATCGTTTCATCCGCTCTAGGGGAAGGCCACGCTTCCTCTTTTTTTTTTTTTTTTTTTATTTGGGGGAGGCTTGGCTGCTTTTTCAGCCTTGATAATTCAGCCCTTTAGCTCAGAGCTACCTTGACCTGCAAAGCTCGGGAGCTTCGCCTTTGCTCTGTTTTTGGCCAGAGCAGCGTATAAGGTCTGAAGGGCAGTGGCTTATGTCCTCGGCAAAAGAAGCCTCGCCTGAGATAGTGCACCTGAAGCTTCAAAATTGCAGCTA